TTACCTTGCTGACCACTGAATCGCTTAAGAGATTTGCGTCGCTTTACGGCATAACAGACAGAGGGCGTTAGTAAACCTCCGTCTGCCTCTGTTAGTGCCCTAGTCGAGAATCTTTTGCGTTTTCGGGGGGTTGGCTAAGCCTTGCTGTGAGTTATCCCTTTCACGCATGTTACGAGCGCCCTCCCTCGCTTTCGCGGCAAGGTTGGGCGGCGCTTTTAGCTTCGAAGGCGGAGCCTACCACGGGAACCTCGACCGGACCGATTCCCAATCGAAAGAATCCGCCAAACAGAAATCAAGCGCACATACTTTGATGACAAGAAATGTCTTTTACGTTAGACAAAATATAAATATAGCATTAACAAAGGTATTGTTCGGAAGAATAGCTGATTTCTTTCTATAGGTTTGCTGTGTATATCGTGCTCAGAGCTTATGGATTGTAAATCACATGTTAGAATTGCCGATATATTGTAGCATTTGCTTTAAAAAAGCTCGTAACTCGTTCTGGAATACGTCTTTGGCTAGTTACTAGCAGTTTTTGTTAGGCGTCTAGATAGCCAGTAGACTTTGCTTCGAGGAGTTTGTACAGCTTCGAGTAGAAATTAACGACGCGTTAATAGTCACAGTACGTACCTCTATCCCTCTATATTGGTTCGTTTTCTTAGATAGCTTACTTAACCTTAGAGTAGGACCTCCTAAAAAAATGTGTCGCAGGTACATCACAAAATAAAACTTAAACGATGTTTATTACATGCACATGTTTGGCCAAAGAGTCTCTAATTCCAGCATAACGATGGCAGTCTACGTGCTGCATCGTTGCCGTAGCAATAGCACGATTGGAGGTTATTAATTTCCAAGTACGTAGTATAGGTATGCCAGGCTGTCCGGAAGTGATTGACGTCGAGGGAAAAGTCCGGACTGTTTTCCACGCTTTCAGCAACTTCAAACCATCCCATTCTAGCAGATGAAGAGTAGTCTAGCCTGCGATTTGTATAGATATTATCAGACTATGTTTTCGAGTACTGAAAGTACATTTAAGTTACTCATGAATTAACTATTAGCCCGCTTAGATAGGATAGCTTGTGTCTGATACATAGGCCACCATATGTTGGCTAGTTTGAGCACGATTTTAGCTGCATAAAGGTCGTACAAAGCAAAATAACGGTTCATTCTATCGATGTGGTCCTAGCTAGGCAATTTTATGCCTTAAATGAACAAGGGTGGCCCATCAGCTTAAAACATTCAGCGACGCTAACAGGAGCGGACCGGCATCCTGATCGTTGAAATAGAACAGCGAATGCGTGTTCTAATTTTTGGCTTATTGTTCTAACTCAGATCTACGACCCGTAATCGTAAACGAAACTGATCGTACCCGTCTGGGTGTAATTCCACTAATTTGCCTTGCATCGACACGCTACTGAGGCTAAGTGTGTCCTTGCTAAGCCTTAATGGTATTAATGAAAAAAAAAACGTAAATTGACTTCCTCCGAACTTATTGGTGTTACTCTTACCATAAAACGCACAGTTACTTTGGGTAAAAGTCTCCGTGATAAGGCGCTTTGTACCCATCCAATGCCACGTCTCATATCTCTGTTGATCAATGTAAAGTGCATCAAAAGGGTTATAGAGGCATTTGTTTTTGAGTTTCCGTATAGAATAAAAATTCATCTTGTGTTTGTTTTGCTTAGCGAATTACAAGATAGGAACTCCAGAAAATCGATGACAGTATACGTCATTTACTGAAATGAACATAACCGGCTCCAGTGCCCGCCTTGCTACTGGTTCATTACAAGTTGCCCACTGTTATTATGGGAGCAGTTCGTTGGCGTGTAAGAATTTCTAACGTAATGTGCTATAAATCGAGCAGAGTCTCGGCCACCCCGTACCACAAATTTGACTACAAAAGGCCGTACGTGCGGCAAACCTAGGTCACGCATTATGACTGCTCGAAGGGGATCCCGATTATAATTAGATAACTTCTATTTACTTACCCCAGATAAATGGAAAATACCTTTAAATCTTCATCGGAAGACATCCGAAAAAAAAAAAAAAAAAAACGAGCAGCAGTAATACTAGCAATCATAGTGGACGCCAATTGATGCAAAATAATTACATCTACCTGTCCTTCATTTAGTCTATATATGCTGTTAGAAAGGCCATAAAGGCAAAATGGTTCGATTTTAACATCACAAGTAAATACTATTATCTTGTATAATAGCGACCCAGTTTCAGTTACATAAATACTATACCGTAATAAATGAAGCTAAATTTGGTGCATCTTGAATAAATCCCGAAATGCTATTTACTCCTAGAAAATGATTTGGGTGCACATATAAACACGGCGTATATGGATGATGCAGGGATGGGACACGCCATGAAGTCAGACATGAGGTCAGACCTGATGGACCAGATAATTGTGCATGCATCTGTGGCGAGACTACCGACTCCATGTTGTATTATTTCAAGAAAACTCATGGAATCACCATAAAGTTGATTTACGACAGACAACACTTACAGGTACCACACTGTACTAGGCTCGTGCCGGCCTAAAGCTATTACGTAATGAGCACCCAGCCGCACAAAGCACAGAATAAGAATCTATGAATTTGAATATGCATAGATTGATGTTGGTAGCAATGGCTCCTATTATTTGTGTGAACGCGCCAATCAGATTATTTATTCCAAACTTCGTTCCTATTGGGCATCCCGACAATTTTATTTGATGCGCGATAATATCTAACTGCTGCCTGATTGTCGGATTGACGCTTGCTTCAAGGTTGCACCAGACTTGTACTATTCTTCGGAGATCGTCCGAAGAGCTGCTGTCGCTATTATTGTCCGGCGCACCGATCCCCTTTAAAACGATTGAAAACTAAGAGCAGACAACTCGAGTGACCAAGACGTACCATCGAAAACTTAACCGTGTCGAAACGACGGCTTTTGTTACTATCGTGACTTTAACTAGTCGCTGTAATGGACGTCTTTGCCTGTTGGCCAGACCAAAGTGTCCTTAAACGCCCCAAAGCGCAGTTATTTAGCCTAGATACTACGCCTGTCTTCCCTCTTATCTGGATATAATGTTACTGAAATCCGATGGTATCTCGGATTTTACCAAAGCTTAAATTCTGTCACATGTTGCCACGTCCAATGTCGGCGATTGTATCATTGAATATAGATGGACAGATAGAATAGGAACAGGGCTGCAGAGCTATGCGGAACGATATGATACGGTTTGCATTTTTTGTACGGCCATTGTTTTTGAAAGAGGAAGATATTGCAAGCGGCGGTTGATATTATCATATAAAGACACCTATGCTCCACTTGAGCCCACAACGTTCGAATAACGTTTGGCTAAAAATAGTACGGTTTTTGCGTTTTAAATTAATATTTTTAATAGTATTTCGATGTGTACAGAGCCATTCATTGTCGGTGCTGTTTATGTAAACATTATAATAATATAATTATAGTTCGACATGTGTCAAACCATATAATAGAACATGAATTTCCGCATACATAGGTTCATTGCGTCATACGAACACACACTGAACAGCAGAGGCTTGCGTACGTAAAACGTACCCTTTGATGACCGTACAAACACGTTTGTCGACTTCCACAACTCGTTTACTATCGTTAGAGGGCAGTTAAATTTCAAGCAGATCAAAAATACAAGCTACAGTATCTAATTAAGAAGGTAGGTAGCGCGTCAGCGCCATGACATGTGCGACTTTTATAGCAGCGCGCCAAAGGAATTAATGTATCCCAACATTTGGCCAACAGAAAAGCGAGCACTGAAGGACTAGGCAGTAGTCGGCTGTAGACATAGACAGAAAACCCGTTTCGACAATGATTTTCATAGATCTAAAATGTTGCTGAATGCGTGTTGCTCCTTTAAGGTAAATATATGGACGAAGTAGAATGGACTTATTATGGGTTAATGTGTAAACAAATTTAAAGAAGCTAAGGAAGTAACCATATGTTTGTACGTATTTTCTACATGTATATAGTCAACTACTCTGTCAAAGGGCATGCTATCCGTCTGTTGGAATAGAAATAAGCAATGAAAAGTTTAATTCTCACACGGAATAGCGTTCTCTTATGGTAACGTCAACTAAGCTTCACAAGCAATAAGGTCAATTCCAATATGTGCAGCTTCTAATTATCTGTCAATCACGGAAACAAATGTAAATACTGAAGCATATCACAGAACACTCAGAATCAAATGTTAGCGCGAAGTTCCCTCTACCCAAAATGATATTTGGTCGGATCGCACCACCCGGATCGCATGTTAGATAACATTATCAGCACAACATTCATTATTTAGATCGTAGACACTCAAGCAAAATTTATCTAATCATTTCAACACTGTCCTGGATACCAGTATACTATCCGTATCATTTTAGGGGTAATCTGCATTTGTCAGTGATGGTCATCACTTCAAGCGAATCTATCACTTTTAGATCTCTCCGACAACAATGGCCGAACATTTCGGCACGTTACTCACACTATATAATCTATAAAAAAAAAAAGTTTGATCCACATAAGTATCATTTTGTCATGCTAGATATATTTATCTAGAGCTCTGTCTCTTAGCTACAACAGGCAGGTAACGGCTTGATTATTCTCCTTTAATCTACCTCATTACTCATATATATATATATACGAGTACTCTTTAATACGAAAAATGTTTTATTTGAAATAGCTGCCACAGTAAGACATGATATTCAGAATATCGGTTTCCTACTGACCTCTCCTAAAAACCTGCTCAAAAACAATGGCAGTTGTCTTCGACACTTTCTAAATGATCTTGTAGTTTGCCGTGACGAAATCTTCATCGCAATATCCGAACTTGTGTACAACCTATAATTTTAATTTTAATCAAAATTGAATTTGTGTTTTTCAAACCTGTTGGCGTTTTCCCGGCTGCATGCATATTCGTGCACTGCAGCACGATGTTGTAGTGCATATCCTCTACTCAAGAGACTATCTGAATCGTTTGTACTTACCGGCCAGAAGAAGCCATTGTCTTTGCAATTGTTCTGGCGTCATCAATGGAAACAGAGGTGAAGGACCCTGTGGTCCTGCTCCAGGTACTCCTTGCATTCCGGGTAGTGAATTTTGGAGCGCGACCCCTCCCAATCCAGTCGGATACGCTGGCGCTGATGCTGCCAGCTGATTCAAGCCGAGCTGTTGCATCTGTTGCATCTGTAGGTGAGAGAGTCCGGAAAGGCTGGGAAATGCTTGGGGCAATTGGGATATTGTTCGAGGTGAAAGGGCACTTTCGAACGGAGGGCATCCTGCATTTGTCGATGGCGAAAGGGAGCCACCAAAGATATTCCCTCCAACAGCAGATGGGGACATCACGTGCCGATTCCCACCTGCGCCGGAAGAGACCGTTAGTTTGTCACTGGTACCACCGCCTCCACTTGAAGCTGTTGCAGGTTCGCTGCTACTCATATCCAACGAATTAACTCTTCTAGATATTATTCCTTACGTTTGTTTTTCAATTTTGTTCTCGGCTGATTTAATAACTGTCAATCTGGCACCGCCAAGCCGGTAACAGAACTTCTGAGTCCCGCCTGATCCTTTTCCTATTCAGGCGATGATCAACGAACTATTTCTTAATATATTATATTATTTTACTATCTTAATGATGGATAGCAAAGCTACGAACGATTAGAAACTGCCGATAATGGAACCACCATGTTATGTCACTGAAAGCTGATTCTTTACGTGTTGATTTAAACAAACGCACAACAAAAATCTTGCGAGTACTTCAAGAAGAAGCTAGATCACGATTCACTACTACTACTACTACTACTACTGACACTTGCGGACACAATCATAGATTTCATCTTCTTTACGAAAGGATCGAGGTGCACAAACATTCGACAATAACCTCAATCGTCTCTCTGCAGGAACCTGACGGCGCTCAAAGCCAAAGCTACATAGAAAGGTAGCTAGCTCTGTAGCTGTACGGAAGCCGATACAAGGAGAAGATACTGCCGTAGCGTTGCGAAACACAATGGGCTTATTTGCTGGCTATTGTGCGGCATAAGCAACAAATGATGCAAAACCAGCCGACAAAACATCACTTTCGTAGAAACGGAACTGAACGCTTTTCAACTGCTGTTGTGAACGCTGCTGGGGAACACATCCTTCTCGCGTTCTTGGCGGGCCCCTTTCGCACGATCGACGCGCCGTGGAGAGGGCTCACTCTCCATCATTGCCATCGCCAAGTTGTTCGTCGCGATAGTCTGAGAGGCGGGGCTGACTCTGCGCCGCAGGGGCGGAGCCTATCGAGACGGTTGCGGTCATAAAATTAACGATTTTTCGTAGCTCTGAGTTTGAAGACGACGACGCTGCTGCTGCTGCTGTTGTTGCTGCTGCTGCTGCTGCTGCTGTTGCTGTTGTTGTTGTTGCTGTTGCTGTTGCTGCTGCTGCTGCTGCTGCTGCTGCTGCCGCCGCCGCTGCCGCTGGTGTCCAGCAAGAGAAGCACCATACATTGAGTAGGGTCGAGTAGATAGAAACAGCACATTGCGACCGGCAAATGTGAACAAACGGGAATACTTTCACATAGAAGAAGATCATAGTAAAGGGAGGGACGATAGGCGACATATAGATGCTACGACTGCATATAGTGGAATATTTATCTGTATACATGTAGATAGATTAGAATAAGACAGACGGCGGCAGTCAAATCGGCGTCACTAGATAGAATTAGGGATGTGGTCGTCGTAGTGGTTCATCGTGATGCGGCTGGCCGACGCTGGCAGCGGTCGATATGGCGGACTCAAACAGGACAACGTGGGTTGGAGGCTGGCCAGCTCATTGGCCCAGATGCTGGGAATGGAGACAAAAGGTGTCGACGATAAAGTCAGGGCCTCATCGAAAGCTGAGCACACGGAGACTCTAGTTGGCAGCGGTCGTTCGGCTGATCACCCGTGCTGGAGAGCGAGATGTGTCTAGAGCTGGGCTGATATCATGCGCAGTCATATAGGGGTTTTTCTACCCCTTCCCTCGCAAAACGGCGGGGGGTGCAGGGGGCACAAGTGGTAATGGCATGGTGGTGTTGCTGCCGGTGGTAGTAGCAGTAGTAGTAGCAGCAGAATCAAGCAGCCGGCAGCCAGGATCAATCTAGTTGGCTGAGCTAACCGAGACAGTAACAGGACACATTACAGGTCTGGCATCCTTTACCGCTAACCTCGCTGTTACCTGCTATTGGCTGCATGGTCATATGGGAGCTTCATACGGCCGGCGATGTCCCGTAGGGAGCTCGTTAAGAGGCGCATCGAGGAGGCTATCGATGGGCTGACCTGATTGCTTGATAGGAGGAGGCTGCCGCCGCAACGTTAACTGCCCGGCCGTCGTTTTAACAGTTCTCCTCGTGGTTATTCCCGGCCAGTTGGGTTTATGCCTCCTGCGCAGGTAGTAGCCGTTGCATTATGGGCGTACAGATGAGACACTCGAAAGAGGCACTCGCGATTCGGGCCGTTTGTCGAAGCTCTTGAACGTGGGATGGGAAACAATGGATGCAATTTGATTAGCTGTGGTTGCTATCACTTTAAGGATTCAATATAGTATAACGACCACTTGATGCTTTCCCGGTGCATTTTCTCGCTGTCATGGAACCTATGCGCACTCACATATGCACGGCACTCAATCGAGTAGCTAATGTGGTTAGAAGTCTGTGTTTCACAAAAGTACATATAGCCTTTTGGTAGTTAGATTTTAACTCCGACTTGAATTTTAACTTATTAAGTGTAAGTAGATTTTTTTTTTACATACCTAACGATTTTAATTCAACTTAAACTTTGAGTAGCTGCTAAATCGATGGATCAGTTTAGATATTCCACACAGAGCAGATCGGGTCTGATGACCTTTTTATTGACTCAACGTGTGGAACTCAGTGGATTAAGTGTGGTTTCAATGCTGATATGACCACTGCTAAATATTTATTCAACGGAAAATCATATTTTTGCCAGTGAATTCGTGTATCTTAGTAAAAAAGTACAGTGTAAGACATCCTCGAGGGAGCACACAGTGAGCAAATACCCGACATTTGCAATTGGTTCCTACTTTTCGCCTTTAACTATTGCTATAGGCGAAACATATCCAATAATATCAACATAAGCCAACAAACATTTAGCTTGCTATAAAATTTACTACATACATCCCTCTCTTTCTACATATGTATGGTTACTTCGGAAAGGCACTGATGTCCCTAAAGTCATTTGATTTCATTTACGTTCATTTCCTATACACAATCGTCTTTTTCAGAGCGGCGCGAAACAAAGGGGTTCGGAGAAAGCAAATTCAGCTTAAACGAACTAGATGTAATAATGTATACAATGCAGATAGTCCCGATCGGGCAACTACCTAACAAACCTTATTGAAAAATCGTGAAGCAGCCGTGTGTAGGAGTGTAGGCAAATAATCCGGAGTCATATTGTTTTCTAGGGAACGCCGTGTTCTAGAAGAATTTTACAGACATAAACTATAAGTATATATAGGCGGCACCTCTAATTGAACAGTTTTCTTCAACAGGTCCGCATCCGCCAGATCAGCCATTGCTGACGGTCATGTCCATTCGACCGATGCCTCTACTCAACACTAATTAGATATTTTCAAAATTTGTATTATTGATTAAACTATTAGTTAGCACGAACTCGTTAAGGTGTACCTCAAATACAAATAGGACGATTTTAGGCTCATGGCAGGCCATATGTCTCAAACATGCAATTGCTTAAATTGGCCAAAAAGTTCCGACGAGTGTAGCGTGAAAAGTTTAAAAAAGATTAATCTTTAGAGCTTATCTGGGTGATTTAATAGGTTCTCCTCCCTACTCTTAACAACTTTTAGTTTCTACACTAAAAACTTCAGTGCACAAAAAAGGCTTTTTGGGGATATTTCTAGAGGTTTATATTTGAACTAGATTGATGATCCTACGGTGTGCCTCATTAAGGTCGGTTTTTTTTTTTTTTATCGAGTATTTCATAGGCCGTATAACAACGGGTAGTAATGTAGACTGTCGACTTCGAGAAAAGACGTCTTTAACCAGGTGGGGGGTCTGTTCAGTGAGGGAAGATTGGATAATAGCCAATCATCGCACTATTCTTTGCCCGTGGCGAGTTTACAATTCTGTTCTAAATAAAAATGGTCTTCATTTAGTATAAGGGGTAGTGGATGAATGTGTTCCTGTTTCGATAAAAAGTTGACGCCTCGTATTTAACTAATCGAGACAAAATATCCTTTTAGCATTTTCCGTAGAAAACATAGACCATGAAAGGCAGCCTTGTTATACCATCATATGCTTGTATACGACTCCCTTCAGGAACTCTACAATTATGATATCTAAATAAATAAGTGTTCCAGGTTTTACGTTCAGTACTGGTATTGAGCATCGCTCCAGACGACTGGTTCCCAATATGAAACGAAGTATGCCTATACTCAACTTCAAGCTTGGACCAGCTTAGGTGTCCTTGAATCTAGCTGGCAAACACGTCGGCATTGTAACGTCACGAGCATACGAATATAATACTTGATTATGCCCAATTTCATCATTAGAAACCCTTAAAAGTGTATGGTGTCCAACTGAAACTATTCTTTACGAAAGGAAAAGAGCACTCAGCTGAAACGTACCAGTTCAGAACGACATGCCCCATGTTTCAGTCTCTAGCACCCTGTTGCTTGCTGAAGCTGGTCGTGCTCTTATTAGCACGATACACTGTGAATTTACAAACACAAGCTGGTTTTGCGTGAAACAAATATACGTCTCATTTTGTGTTCAAAATGATAATTTCTATTTATTGGTATTGGTTGCCGTGTTTCTCGCACCTTACCAAGTATCTCACGTGACATTAGAGACAGCGCTCTGTTTAACATTTAACGCGCTTCCTCGAAACAGTGAATCAGGCATCACTCTGTCTTCCTAGAGGGAAGCCATAAGATGACGATAATCCTTGAATTTGCCGCGAAGCTATCTATGAGGTATAGGGTTTGTTCGCAAGTAAACTTGATTTCTTTCTTTGAGCGATGCCGTTTCATAACATTTATGACCGTTGAATCATTGGAGGAGTGCGACCTTCTGTCAGGCGCGTTCTCGTTTGAATTGATTCTCTATTTTCAGCCAGCTAATTGCCTTTATTGTGATAGGTTACCGACCGAAGGCTGGTCGACCTAGACACCCTTGGCCATCGTCATTGAGCAGAAATGATAGAATTCCTTCTTTGAACACTTTAAGGTGCCTAACATTGGTGTCACCCCCACCAAAAACAGTGGACTAGACTTTGTAATAAGCCTCCTTTTTTTTTTTCTTAATTTTTATTGCCAAACAAGAACGACTGCTTATGATCAAACTATAATACCCCGCAGGTGGCGCAACGATAACCTGGCTATATACCATTGTCGTATATTAGCCTGAGTACGAAGGCTAGCTTCATTGAGTTCTATTTGTTTGTGTCGGAAGAATTCACCAACAGGTTAAAGTATGCTTATTAAAACTGAGACTAAATATCAAATCACGGTTAAACGCGTTCTGTATGTCATCGCATACAGCCGACAGCCTATTTCTCATCCTGGACATGGTTTGTATACTGTATCAATGTGGCCCACATGAACACCCCGCTATTGGCCTACAGTTTTCTAAGGGCGCCTTCAAACAGTAAACTGTGGAATTTTTACAACAACTTTTTTGATTGTCTTCCTTTTTGTTCTTTTTTCTTTGGCCTTTTGTCCGTTTGCGCTAGCTGGCCAACGCTGCTTCTTTTCAACTTTTCGACTTATGGCGTCACTCGGTTTTGCTAGCTGGCTTTTAGGTGTGACGATCTGAAGCATGCACCCGCGAACGCGTTCGACACGATCAGCCTATAAGCAATAACTAAGACCGCAGCCTGGTAGATAACACCATAACTGCAACATGCACCATAATGACAACACGATTTCAGCATGACAGTGACACCCAGACCTTAACTGGGTCTTTCTCGCCAATAGCCGTTCTCCCATATCATCTTCTCTAAGGCCCAGCTCCTCGCACCCGTTGGACATGCGCGAGACTTAACTATATCCCACCTATCAGTTCAGCTAGCGATTTTC